TTTTCCACTTGAACCAAATCGCCCATCCTAACTGGTGCTGTATTAAGTCTACGTTGCATATGCCCAGCCCACCTAAGTCTACTTTCCTTCATCTTATCGTCTATGGGAGCCACTCCTAAGTTTCATCCCCACCTAAGTCTACTTTCCTTCATCTTATCGACTATTGGAGCCACTCCTAAGTTCCATCCTATGTATTCATTCCGAATTCTATCCTTTTTTGTCTTGTCATGCATTCATGTTAACATCCTCATCTCAACTACACATGAATTATATTATTTAATATAACTAAATAATTAATCATTTACTTATTTCATCTCTTTCATCTTTCCCTCATTTGATTTTTTCATTAATTATGCTATTTAATATTTTTATTAATGAATATGTATAATATATGAAAATAATTTTCAATAATGGTAAAGAGTTTCTATAAATTCCTTAAAGAGTGCAATTATAAGGGGCAACTTTTACATTATTTATTATTTGATTATTAGTAATAAAAAATACTTATTCCTATTCAAATATAAGTTCCTTCATATATAAAATAATTAAAATAATTGAATGCCTTATTCAGAAAGTTTTGAACATAGACATCCATACTTCTCATCCTTAAAATTATTATTGGCTTTAATCAGTATACCATAACCAAATAGATATTCAAACCTTTCACAAGTGATATTCCCTTAAGGACTTTTTCTCATTGGCCTCGTAGAGTTCAATATGGTCATTCTAGAACCAATGATGTTTGTTAAAGATTTTGAAAAAGCCCTTGATTCACCAAAAGGCCAACAACTACCACTGATTCTTCATCATCAAACCTTTTCACTTCAAGAAAAATTGTGCCCTAGCTCCATTGCTTGAGCATATAACTCAATTAGAGTGAAGAGAGTACATGGATGTAATGATAGATGTGGGTGAGGGAAAAAAATTTCAACATACATGCATCGCCCATGGTAGAGAGGACTTTGACTTAGCTCGGTAGCTGATGAAATGAGAGAGAGATTATCCATGCCTTAGATGAAGCATGGTTTATTTCAATAAAGAGTTAGAGATAGATATAGATACTGCATAGATGTTTCTAAATAGAAATATATATATATATATATATATATATATATATATAGAGAGAGAGAGAGAGAGAGAGAGAGAGAGAGAGGAAGAGTAAGTAAGTAAGTAATAGTACTAACGAGTAAGAAC